TTTACTATATTAAGGTCTTGTTTTACTCGGTTTTGGACAGTTATGTTCTATGTGATTGTAAAATGCATCCTTAATCTTGTAATATCGTAATTTACAAAGATAAAGACATGTAGTACAATATTAGGGTAAATGGGAACATTCATATGGTAAATTGGGTCCTTATACTTGTAAACTCGGATGTTTACAATACTAATGTCTTGTATTACTCTTTTATGGATAGTTATGTTCCAGAACATTGTAAAACCTATCCTTAATCTTGTAATATCGTAATTTACAAAGATAAAGACATGTAGTACAATATTAGGGTAAATGGGAACATTCATATGGTAAATTGGGTCCTTATACTTGTAAACTCGGATGTTTACAATACTAATGTCTTGTATTACTCTTTTATGGATAGTTATGTTCCAGAACATTGTAAAACCTATCCTTAATCTTGTAATATCGTAATTTACAAAGATAAAGACATGTAGTACAATATTAGGGTAAATGGGAACATTCATATGGTAAATTGGGTCCTTATACTTGTAAACTCGGATGTTTACAATACTAATGTCTTGTATTACTCTTTTATGGATAGTTATGTTCCAGAACATTGTAAAACCTATCCTTAATCTTGTAATATCGTAATTTACAAAGATAAAGACATGTAGTACAATATTAGGGTAAATGGGAACATTCATATGGTAAATTGGGTCCTTATACTTGTAAACTCGGATGTTTACAATACTAATGTCTTGTATTACTCTTTTATGGATAGTTATGTTCCAGAACATTGTAAAACCTATCCTTAATCTTGTAATATCGTAATTTACAAAGATAAAGACATGTAGTACAATATTAGGGTAAATGGGAACATTCGGAAGGTAAATTGGGTCCTTCGTATTGTAAACATGGATGTTTACAATATTAAGGTCTCGTATTACTCTATTTAGGATAGTTATGTTCCAAGAGATGGTAAAACTCATCCTTATTATGGTAATTTCGTAATTTACAAAGAGATGGATATGTATTACAATATTAAGGTAACTAGGGACATTGAGAAAGTAAATTGGGTCCTTATACGTGTAAACACAAACGTTTACTGTATTAAGGTCTTGTTTTACTCGGTTTTGGACAGTTATGTTCCATTTGATTGTAAAATGCATCATTATCTTGTAATATCGTAATTTATAAAGATAAAGACATGTAGTACAATATTAGGGTAAATGGGAACATTCATATGGTAAATTGGGTCCTTATACTTGTAAACTCGGATGTTTACAATACTATGGTCTTGTATTACTCTTTTATGGATAGTTATGTTCCAGAACATTGTAAAACCTATCCTTAATCTTGTAATATCGTAATTTACAAAGAGAATGACGTTTAGTACAATATTAAGGTAACTATGGACATTAGGAAAGTAAATTGAGTCCTTATATGTGTGAACACAAACTTTTACTATATTAAGGTCTTGTTTTACTCGGTTTTGGATAGTTATGTTCCATTTGATTGTAAAATGCATCATTATCTTGTAATATCGTAATTTATAAAGATAAAGACATGTAGTACAATATTAGGGTAAATGGGAACATTCGGAAGGTAAATTGGGTCCTTAGTATTGTAAACATGGATGTTTACAATATTAAGGTCTCGTATTACTCTATTTAGGATAGTTATGTTCCAGGATATTGTAAAACCCATCCTTATTATGGTAATTTCGTAATTTACAAAGAGATGGACATGTATTACAATATTAAGGTAACTAGGGACATTGAGAAAGTAAATTGGGTCCTTATACGTGTAAACACAAACGTTTACTGTATTAAGGTCTTGTTTTACTCGGTTTTGGACAGTTATGTTCCATGTGATTGTAAAATGCATCCTTAATCTTGTAATATCGTAATTTACAAAGATAAAGACATGTAGTACAATATTAGGGTAAATGGGAACATTCGGATGGTAAATTGGGTCCTTATACTTGTAAACTGGGATGTTTACAATACTATGAATTAGGTGAACCCTAATGTTGTAATCATAGTTCAAAAACTTGTAAACAGCTGCCCAAATCTTGTAACTTATAAGTTTTAGGATCCTCTTACAATGTTATGGTACTCTCATATCTAAACTACTGTAAATCACTATCCAATCATATGCCAATTGCCAAACAGGAAGGGCATAATTGCATGACCCTTATGCAATTACATTTTCAAAAAGTGGAAACTTGATAACTTGTATAACCGGTAACCAATTTTTTAAAAAATCTGGGAGCATCATAAATGACAAATGGTGCATGGGTGCACCTGGTGCACTGTAGAAGGTGCCGATCTCAAACCAAGTAAAGACAAATATCAATAAAACATAGGCTAGTTCTCAGTACTTTCCCCAATATCTCTCTGCCGGAAGTGCCCCACCAATCATTTCCCACCAGCATTGCAGAAATGCAAAATCAAGATTGTCAAGGACTGAAGAACGTGTCTTGCAAGTCAGACGACACGTTGAACTCCTAGTTCTGACTTACGCTGACCAACCGCAATTTTTCTTTTAAAATCAAATCAATAACAAGCTGACACTCGATAAGTCGATAAACCCTCTCATCTCCTCAGTTTTGGAACAAGAAGAAGAAGGTGGCCCAAAAAACAGAGCAAGAAGCAGGGCTCCTCTCTTTCTCTCTCTTGAGTTTTTCTCCCATCGGTTCCAGGTACGCAGCTCTGTTACTTTTCCTAAAACTGATTGCCACAAACACACATAAATATGAACACAAGAGAAAAAAGAAGAAAAAATATGACCAAAACAGTCACATTATTATTGCCATGACCCATGAAATGAAAGATGTCCATCTCCCATGAAGTCCATAAACCAAAGTTGAATTTTGTTTAGGGTTACATGAGCAGATTATTGCCTCCTTTTGGGCATCTTTGTCTAAGCTCTTGAAGAATGTTCCTTTGACTGGGTAGGAGTTCTGTACTGACTGTGGTCTGTTTGTTGTCTGCTTTAAGTTGGCGTCGGCTTGCTGGACTGCTTGCCCATCTCCCTGTTATATTTCTGTTTTTTTTTCCCAGCAGAACTCTTGTTTCCTATATATAAAAAAATGAAACCACTTTTTTTTTTTCTTCTAATTTTTCTTGCTGTAAAAAACATACTAAATCATGCTTTATGGGTATTGATTCTGTCTATTACACTTCTATTATATTCTGTGTATGCATGTCTATGTGTGTAATTATTTTCCCTACATCTTCTGATGGTTGACATCAATGTATGCCAGCCGTTAGTAAATTGTTATCTTAGATTGCACAACGGTGAACTTATTTGCTTCAAGATGAATATCCTCTTATGCAATGCCTTCTTGCATAAGAAATTACCTCATTTAATGAGGCTCATTATAATGCCATAGTGTAATGCATATTGTGCATTAGAATCTTCCAGTAACCATTCTGTTATTAGGTGTGTTTGGAGGAAAAATTCGAAGAGTCTTATAGTGAAGTGAGAATTACAAAAGAAGAAGAATTGCAGGATTTGATCCACCATGGAGTCCAAGCAGGATGAAGTTTTCCACGGTACATGCTTACTTGTCGTATATATTTCAAGCTTTCCTCAAACCTTTTTATTTATTTTTCTTGCAAGCATTAAAACCAATTATGGTTGGTTTGTTGAGCTTGCAGTGTAATATGACTGATTTCAAAATTAGATTTGTGTACAACTGTGTGCCAACCTTTTTGTTGATGACTCCTGATCTAGATAAAGCTTTTTATAGTGATTGACAAGGAGTTAGGAAAAAATGGATTTCATAATCAAAGAATTTATGTTTAGTAGATAATTAATGTTCCTGTCTAAGATGGTATGCCAGCTTGTGATATATTCTGTCGTTTTCGCACTTAAGTGTTGTGTATCCCCTTCAGAGGTCCTACTTTGTGCTTACATTATTGCTCGAGCGTTCAAGGATGTATTAGGTAGAAATTGTTTGGTCTATTACAAGTTCAGAGTCGAAATCTTTCTGTATGATAGGACATTCACCAAAGATGATTTTCAATTGTTTGCTGAAAAAAGTGAAATTTACTCTTTAAAGGGTCAATGTCATCAAGAAAAGACACAAATGCCATTAAAAGTAATTGGCTTCCATCTCATTTGCTTGAACCAATTGCATATTTAATATTGACGCCTTTGATCCTACTTAGAATTGGAAGTACTCTTGCATTGCATCCTGAAGATGTTCATCTACGGTAAATAAAGCAGAGTATAACAATGAAGTAGTATTAAGTGCACAGTTCTGTTTAAGTTGCTAACATCTGTGAGATTCGACAAACTTCTCATATCTGGAGTAACATTAGAGGAACTGAAATGATAGTATGACTGTCCTAAACTTTTGGTTCTAGCTTAAATAACATCCATGGAACTAATCACTAAAAAATTTGAAATAAGGTTATGGCATTATGTAGTAAAGCTGAAGTTGAAACATTACTCAAATTTTCATCATCCTTAGATCCGTCCTAGACTCCCAGTCATATCAAGTTGGCTGCGTTGAAGTCTTGTCGTCCATTTTGTTGTTGTTGTTCTATTATTGCATTATTTCCTATTAAATCTAGGTTGAAATCTTTCTTTATTACTTCTTCCATAATCCATAGTAATCTTGGTTGGCCCTTTTCACTTGAATTAGGCTTTCGTTGATTAAAGGTGCATTTGGTGTTCTAAGTTGATCATTTCCATACCACCTAAACTGGTTTCTCTTTCTTATCACTAGTAGATTGTTTCTCTAGTACACCAATTGTTATTAGAGCTACTCTTATCTGCCATGTTATCGTTCTCAGCTCCGTTCTATGGATGCTTTGCTTTTTCTTTTTCTTTAATGCAAAATATTCTGCTCCATATATAAACAGTAACTTTGCACCGGTAATGGTTGTAAAACTTCTCTTTTAAACTATTTTGAATGCTTATATCATATAGGGTGCCACCAAGTTGTTTCCATTTTGTCCATACAGTGACAGTTCCAGTTCCACTTATTACATTGTCATCTGTTTCTCTCTTATTTTGACTAGTATTGAAAATGATATGTTTAGGCGATGCTCTACTCCTGAATTGTTACTAAACTGTTATCGTTTTCATCTGTATTGAATTTCATTCCATATATGCTATTTTAATTCTACTAGTTCTTAAACAATTTGATTCTGAGACATTTCTCCATGTTTAAAGTTTTCCAATAAGCGTCTTTAGAAGTGCCCATCAAAACTTTGTCATCAGTAACATATGTTAACCTCACTGCCAGTTGGAAATAGTGTGATTGATATAATCTTTTCCTATTCCACATCTTTATTATGTATCTAGATTCGTGAATATGCTAGTTTATTTTCCAAATTGAGGTTTGAGTTTTTGACCAGATAAGGATGAACAGAAGACAAGAAACAAAGTATCTGTGTCCAATATCTCTAAGGTTGATGGGAAAGATGTGTTGAAACTGTTCTCTAGTTTGCCAGATAATAAAGTGCGAGCTAATGTGACTGATTGGAAACGTGGAGAAAATATTGCACATGATGCATCTTCTGCAGATATAGATGCCTCTGCTGAAGTGAACATGGAGGCATCAATAACAGCTGATGATTTCATGCGGGCCGGAGGCTTCGGTGCTAGAGATGACATAAGTAGTTTTCTTCCTGTTGCAAGTGACTCTACTGACTTTGAAGCTGCAATACGTGACGCTAGAGGCTATGAAGAACCACAGGGAGATATCTGCAGACCAGGTCTTGGCTGGAAAGAAGCTAGAGAAACAGAATAACTGTGTTGTTGCTACAAGCCACCATATATGTAAGTTTGTTGCACTTAAGATTTTGCTAGTTTTTTCTTGTAGTACTAAAGGATTAATGTATGCAGACTATGGTATCATAAATTTGGCTGTATTTCAATTTCAGGTTTTCATCTTCTTATTTTGTAAATTCTCTGATATTTTCTTGGAAGGGACATGAGATCCTTTGTCAAAATAACCAAGAAACTAAAACGGGCTTCATAATATATGCTAAGGACACCCTTTATTGGAATACAGTTACTAAATCTATTTACAACATGCACTGGTTTTGTATTTGATGCTTATAAGTTTGAACAAAATTTATCAGAAAACCCAAAGGGGCCCTATTTTGCTTACTATGCAACTGGAAATCCAAGGACATGTTAATTTAATTGCCATGACTATACTGTAGTTTCGGGGATTATTGGCTCTGGATATGTGAGGCACTTCCTGTGTGGCTCTTTTAAATTGCCAGTGTCATAAGATGGGTATTGCCTTCTGGAAGATCCTCTGCCCGGGGGCAAGGATTGCCAAAGGGTCATAAGAAGACTTCCTCTGTATGAAAGCTTGCCATCGAGGGCCGAAATGAGCTTTCCACTCTTGTTGGGTTCTGTAATAGGGTAGATATTGCTTGATACCAAGCTGGGCTCTATCACAAAACTCTAGAATTCTTCTGTTTTGTATTAAAATTTGATCTAGGCCATCTGTTCCTTTGGAAGATGGCACTGCAGAGGATAGGAATGCCACTAAGTAGAAGACATCTTCATCTGGGGTAACCAATGATGTGTTGTTGTTCCACCTGTAACACAATAAAGGAATTAAGGTTGAGAAGATGGAAAATTTGAGACTTTTAAAGAAGAAGTCATAAAATTGTAGAATAGTTACTTGGTTTTGTTGACAGGGTACATAAGGATAGGACCATTGATATTGTCTGTGAGAATGTTGCCAAAGATCTCATCAGCAAAGTCATGTATCTTGCTTTTAGGGATGAGAAGGTTCATCCACGGGTGGGGAACTTCCCACAATCCTTTCGTTCGGAGTTTTAGCTCGGACAAATGCACTCTATCTAGGAATTCGACATAGGAAACTTCGGACAGGAAGAGGGTGGATGGGATGTAATGCAAAAGTAACAGTAAGCTTTCAGTTCTCTGCATACACAAAGGTTTGCAATGAGGACTTTACCAAGTGATGAATATTGTATTTTCTATCATCGAAGAAATAAGGAGGATATTTTTCATTTCCATGAAAGTCTCACCTGATCCATGACATCAGTTTCATTGGGGTTAAAGTATTTGGCCATTTCTAGGCAGTAGAGTGTTCTTCCATCTGAATTGAATTTGCTGGCTTGCATTGGATCTTTAGGATTGAAGGAAGATCTCCAGTTATTAAGAAGACCTGTTCTATTAATTATTACAAATCCTTCAATATAGTCAAATGAATTTTCAGATGATATGAGAAACTCTTGGTCCTTGGAAAATGATGAGAAGTCTGAATATAACACTCTGATCCATTTCACCTGGAAAAATAAATAAACTATGTATTATAAATTTAGAATATATGTACTCTTGGATTGTAATGTACCTTCTTTTGAACTGGAGTGTATTTTTTACCATCTTTGGTGCTGGTTCAAGAGAGATTCTGGCCTGTGTGATGATGCCAAACTGTCCAAGCCCTCCAAGGACACCATAAAAAAGGTCTGGACTGTTGTTCTCTGAACAGGTAATTACTTCTCCTTGTCCTGCAACAGAACTTCAAATTTATATTACTGGCGCCTTTTTGTCGCATAGCTAAAAGAAATTGTTTCAAATGAGTAAGATTATATAAAATCAACATATTTTATGATGTATGAAGGAGTATAGTGCTAGAAGAAAAAACAAAGGCCAACCGGGTCTAGCCAAGTGGAAAGAGCCTTGACTTGCAGACTAGTGGTCTCAGGTTCGAATCTCCATGGCACCTTCTTAGTGTGTGTGAGAAAAAACCCCTCCCCCAGCTTGTATGATTTTTTTTTTTTTTTTACTTAAAAAAAGAGAGTAGGTAGATCACCAAAATACCCTTATCTTTTTCTGACATGATGAGTGCTATGTGTTTTTGTTGTTGCTCTGCAATTTCAAGCAATTCTGTACTGTGTGAACATACCTGTGACAACCTCCAGCTGGTAGACGTTATTGATTTGTGGTCCGTGCCGGAAAGCCTGACCGCTGATCCCGGCATATGATAAAGTCCCGCCGACGGTGAGGTGAAGGTAATCAGTCCAAGATTTTGGTGACAACCCATGTTTAAGAGTCTCATGCAGAATATTTATCCACAGCTCACCACCTGAAACATCCACATAAGGCTGCTCTCCAATGTGAACCTGCATTTGTTGTGCTTTGAGTGACTCCATGTTGATGACCAAACCTCCATGGGCTTGAGCTTGACCTTGAAGAGAGTGGCCATGGCCTCTGGCAGCAACTGTAACATCTGAAGCAGAACCCAGTTCAAATATAAGTTTTATTGTGGAGGAGATATCAGAAACTGATTTTGGATGCAGGACTGCTAATGGGAGGGATTGAAATGTGTTGCCAAAGTCCTTTGCTGCATGATGGTTGTTTTTAAAAGTAAAGTAACCATCTAGGCTTAGTGTCTCCAAAGCCGAAGTAAGATTAAGAGAGGGAGGTGAAATTGTTGGTGTGGCAAGGAGTTGATTGGAAGGAAGGTTGGTTGTTCTATCTGGTATGCAACCCATGAATAATAAGATGAAGAAAAGTTTGAGGTAGAGAATGTTGTTCTGGTTGTGGAAGCTGTACATAGGTGAACCCATGTTGCAAGTATTTTGAGGATTTTCTCAGAGAGAGAGAGAGAGAGAGAGAGAGAGAGGTGCTCTTGCTGATTTTTGTGAGGCAAAGCAAAAGGAGAGGTGTAGAGGAGGCTAAGAAAAATGAGAGGTAGAGAAGAGAATTTAAAGGGGAGGTTTTAGGCGGCATAGTCAAAACACAAACTCAATAACTTTGTACTGTAGAGACTATGCTAGTTTTTATTTGGTGTGTGTTACGATCTTCTTTTTCCTATTTTGGGTTCCAAATTTGAGGAGATGAATATCACAAAGAAAGCGAAAGTGATAGGCTGATTTTGGGTATACCAATCTATAATATCTGGCACATTGTCAAGCATGCCAAAATCAACCAATAATCAACAAAATGTTGAGGAAATATAAATAAAATATGACAACACCCTATGTATTGTAGATTAATACCATGTACCAAACACCCTTCCTCTTTTCTTTTCCAATTTCACATATCTTTGTGTACTTTACTTCGGTTATAAGAACTTCTTCAATACAAATTCGTGCGTAATGAGAAAACTAAATCATTACGATTAATCTCTACCCTATTAAGAAAAGATGAACTTGTCGGTTTAACAATTACAACCATGATTATGTTAAGTAGAAATCCGTGCCGTTGATCAAAACCGGTTACTTCTACGAATGAGGCTACTACCACTTAAAGTAAAAATTGTACACGAGGACCTCAAATAAAACTATAAAAGGGCACGGTCCATGGAGGATGTCACGACTTAAATGTCATTATTATTATTATTAACTTGTTCTGAGTACATATCACTGCATAAATGTACCAGTTTTATACATATGAATGAATACAAGTGTGTCAGGCGACACGTATGCCACAGGGATCAATTTTTCCTGATCGGAGAGCGATCCGCGGGAAGCCCCCACACAGTTTGCTGCATGCTGCTTCAGCTTAGTGTCAGGGGAGTCGGATAGAAAGTGGGGTCCCACTGTAGCGTTTTATCTTTCAGAAAGTGCATGTTGTGTGTGGTTTTGGCTGTTTTCTCCATTGTGTCCTCTCTTTCATAATCTCGTGAGCTAGTTCAAACCAAACCAACCCAAAGCTTGTTTTTACACTTTGAGAGATAATTATATTGTATATGAATGGGATGGACCATCTCCACGGGTGTGTTTGTAATTAATCACCTCGATGTGTGTGTGTGAGAAAAATGCGTACAGGGTACGGATTTTATTCGGGACCTCTTTCAATAAAGTGGAGAGAAATGTCGAGTGCGTGAATCTATCATCGAGTCAGAAAAGTTGTGCAATTAATTATACAAGATGTTAGGCCTCTCCATCCATTACTCATGATAATGTACTGATAATATATGCAATTGATATTAGTTTAATTGTTATTATGATTAATTTTTGGAAGGGAGAAAAATGTGTACTTAACAGTCTTTGATTTTTGGCCTTGAGCTTGACAAATTTGAAACACATGTAGCCATGACTATGACATGGACTCATGTGGGTCCTGTTACATGTGATTTTCACGAGGGGTCAAGAAAAACTTGTCTCTTGGAATTGACTTTGGCACTGCAAGGACCAATAGACGTCATGTATGCATGTTTCACGAAAATCTAATGGGAACATAACATACTAGCAAAAAATACATTCACATTTCTAAAGAAGACCAAGACCCATTTAAAGCCACTAGGTATACGAAGCTGACTTAATTTCATCCTCGAGGAGGCGTGGCAGTTTAACAGGAGTGAATTGATAACGTCACGCAACAATTTACGATCACACTGAAAAATTAGTTGATGTTTGTGGATTCAAATTGTGTTCCATATGCTCATTTGAATTATTGTTTTCCAAATGATTCTATATTTTTTAAAATATTTTTAATGGCACTATCTCAGGAAAGCTATGTAGATTTATTGGTCATAGAAGTATTCAAGTATCATTATGTTGGTGGCATGTAGGGGCCTGGGATGCTTTGGGCTGTGTGTGCTGAAGGAATGGAAAGTGGGCATTGGGGATGACGAGTACGACAGTTTGAATGGAGGGGACACTACAAAAGGCATCAACGAACAACTGATTGGCGTCATAGATCCCAGCACTATGACATCCCTAATATTATTCCCCAATATATATATATATATATATATATATATATATATAGATATATATATTTTCTTCTTCAATATTATTATATTACTCTACAATTGAAGAGGATTGTTTGATATTATTAAATGTTATTTATCTAGAAATTTATAATTTATTGTTGAAAATCTTTGAACACAGTAAACATAGTGCTATATGATTCATTTTAATACTTGATTTGGTGCGTACAATTTCTTGAATTGTTCATGTTTGTTAGGTTCCTTCCAATGATCATTTCTACAAAAAGTCATCAGTATCACAAATCAATGAGGCATTTGGTATTTTAATAAAATCGATTGTTTGTCTATTTATTCGATTAGAATTAGATGTTATTTTTTGGGAAATTTACTTAAATACCATCTGAACTTTTAGGCATGTGCTTTATTATCACCTGAACTTTTAATTTTTAATTTTAACCATTTAGACTTTGTAAAGTGTTGCAATCCGCCATCTACATCTAACTCTGTTAAAATTTAAGGGTATTTTTGTTAATTAATTATAACTAAAATAATTGTTTAAAAAAACAGGAAAGAAAAAAAAGAAGTTACAAAATTTGAATTCTAATTTTTGATGTAAATTTTTTTGAATTTGCTCGATGGTGGGCGAGAGAAAGAGTAATTGCAGGATGTTAACTTTTTTCATTCTAAATTTTTTGAATTTTATGGATGCAAAACTTTCATTGAAATGATGGATAAGCCTTTGAATAATTATTGCAAGACATGAAATGCAATGCAGGAAGGCAACAAGATCAATTGGAGCATTGAAATTTGATATTACGTGGAAGAAAGAAAGATTGGGTAGAGATGAGAGAGAGATACGGAGGCGTGGAAGAAAGAAAGATGGGGTAGAGAGAAGAGAGAGAGATATGGAGGTTAACTTTTTAAAAAACAAAATTATTTTTAGCTATATTGAATTGGTGAACGTAATAAAAATTTTAATGGAGTTAGACGTAAGTGGTTGATTGCAACACTTTACATAGTTCAAGTGTTTAAAAATCAAAATCAAAAGTTCATGTGATAATGGTGTGCATGCCTAGAAGTTCAGGTGGTATTTATGCAAAATTTCCTTTTTTGTTTTTGGGGGTTTGAAGAGTTAGATGATTTATTCATTTCTAATTTAGTTGATATTTTTTTTGTAAACGAATGAGATTATATAAGATCATGAAATTACATTGTAAAGTCTAAAAAAATGATTTGTGTTGTATTAAGCTACACATGGTGCGTATTTGAATAATTCATGTCTATAAAGGTAACCTTATAGTCTCAAGGAGGTAGAGATTAACCCTAACCCTAGCTAGATTCGATGAGAGCACATATAAGCCAACCGATATGGACAGTCAATTGTGATGGAGGGCCCTATTCGCTTTGCAAGTTAGCTCTAAATAATAATTTCTTGCATATATCTTTTAAAGTGCAAATTTCGTAATGAAATTTATTATATCTTAGCTAAGATTATGAGGTTTGATAAGAAATTGTGACTAAGTTTTGAATCAAGAAATAATAACCATCATCTCCCCCATCCAATTGGGTTTAGTGAACAACAATTTGATAAAGGAAAGTGAGAAAAGCCAATCGAGGGCATGCCTTAGGGTCAATTGGCTCTTAAAACATTTCTTGTGTGTTACAAACGTTAGAATATTTACAAAGATATTCAATGGGTCAATGCATCGATCCATAATAAAGCCATGTCACCACAATGAGGCTAGCCACAAGTATCAAACAAAACATGAGTATATATTATCGTCGTATTCATGTGAGTCGAACTTAAAATATATTCCAACTAAGTGGAAAAAAGCTTTAAAAATTGAAAATGCTAAGCTCACATACACCACAAATAATCAGAGAATGCGAGGTCCACAAATTTGGCGATGTGTTTAGTTCAGTCATCTCAACCATCTTAAATGGACCCACATGAGGTAATCTTGGCTCATCATCCGATCAAAAAATCTTGGCTCTCATAGGAAAAGCTAGGGAAAGTGAAAAGATATATAAGAAAAGCATGTGATGCGAGGAAAGGGAATGTCTCCCTAGTCCCACGCACATAGCCCTAGTATACTACATACAGAAAGAGGAATTTTTCCAATCCAAGAGTTTCCAAAAAAAATGTAAGTGACAGAAGAAGTTGGTCCAAAACCATCACCTTCCTACTCCCTAGTAGGATATGGCAAAGAGAGAGTTCGTAAAAACCCTAGGCTGCATTCTAATTTTTCTTTATGTTTAATCTAGTGAGCTTATAAATGTCTAAGACAACACTTACTTCTGGCTGTGTATTTAAACATATTTTTTCAAAGTGTAAATAATTCAAGGGAGACTAGCTAGCTTGTCTAAAGTTCTTGTCATTTCTTTCTTTCTTTTTCTTTGCTTTCTGTAAAGATCGGTTTCTTTTTTTTTCTTTACTTTCATCTGCTTTTCTTGTCGGGCAAACGTCTTATAATGCTCAATGGATAGAGCTTGTTATTCAGAAGCAG